AAATTATTTCCAATGATGCATTGTTCAAGCTTTCATGTGCTCGTAAAATTTTGAAATTTAGCATTAACTAACCATTCGATCATAAAGTGGGGAACATTCTAGTGATAATTCTCAAGTTTTCATCTTTGGCGAAGAGTTCTCGATGCCCCCAGTAGAGGTGTGTTTTAGGGTAAGGAAGAAGATAAGAATCAAGAGAGTAGCTGTTGTGGTTGAGCAACTAATAAGTTCTTACCTCAGCTTGGGCTGACAAAGTAGCAGCTACATCATTTATGAAATGATTGGGATGGACATTGATTTTATTAATGCACCTATGCAGAGGCACTTCATCGTGAGTACTGAGAAGCTAGTCAATGTACAGTACTTGGAAATCAGAGCTACATCACAAGTTTCAAGACTCTACGCTGCTCGCTACAAGATGACTACAATTTCATTTAAGAATTCGACGTTTGAGATATCAAAATTATGTGGGATTCTACAAGATAAGTGTCATTTCATTTAAGGTTCTTTGAGACTACTTACCCTAAACTCAAGCTCACAGTTATAGTAAGTTTAGTATATTTTCTTCAATAGGCATTTTTAAAATTTCAAATATTCATGAAATATTCATAACGTGATGGAGATGTGGGTGCACACTTCTAGACAACCAAATATTTTAACAAGATCACTAAAATCCTTTCACATAGATCAAATAATTTCTATGGAGGTCCACATCATCCTTAGTTTGACCGACACTAAAAACCCTTGAATCACGAAGACCAATTCTACAACTCGGATCAAACCCCAAAATTAATTATAAATTTTAGTTAGGGTTCAAGGAGACCAAATTTCTTTGCAACAAATTTTCTATATGGAAAATAAACTCCAACCAAAAAATAAATATGAAGAAACAAGAATATTTTATTTATTAACAGTTTGTGTACAATTTTGTCCGTTTCTTGATTCTTCTATAGGATGATTTCCACCTAAAGTGAATTTTATTAATCTCCATGTAAAGATATTTTTTTTGATTTTCATGAAGTATTTGTTGTCATGAAGAGTCCTCCCACATCTTGATCTCTTTTTAAATGTTCTATGAATTTATGGAATTTTCGAGATTCCTCTTTAAGGGATATAGTACCCTTTATATAGTGAGTTAGTATTAGTCTTTAAGATTTCTAACTAAAGTTGACTTGTCTGGTAGAGTCCCACACAATATTTATGTCTACAAATGTCGAGTCTCTGTCTCATGAAAAAATTCATTTCCTTTTTAGATAACATTTTGGGCACATAGTTCACCTAACTCTTTTATTGGTTGGAGTTTTATTGTTTGAGGTGTAATCAAAGGTTCTAGAAAAGGTCTTAAAAGATCGCACCAACGAAGGACCCAACAACATCTCCAAGCACGTTTCAGCCTCCCATCCAAACGTGGACACAAGATCCAGTTTCTCAAAACTCCTCAATGGTACAACATATCTGTCTTTGAAGAAGAAGGTGCTTGTGCATGCTAGCCTTAAGTGCAGATTGAGCATATCATTTATTGTTTACAAAATTATACCTCAAATCAATAATTTTTCATGGAGCCAGTATAAATATTTGAAATACATATGCTTTGTAACAATATTATGTATCACTGCACCTCCCGGCATTCCTAGCGTTAATATCATTATGGAATATGATTCATGAGTTAGAGTTTCAACAAGCTATGAAAGATCATGGAACTTGTATGTAGCAAGGATTAAAGTACCAGATATTAAGTAGTTTCTCATAATCAACAAAATCAATGTGCAACCCAATACAATTCATAAATGGTAATTCCCCACACGAGTTGAGGTAGGCACATATTAGTTCCTCAACCATATTGACTACTTCTTACTATTTCTAATCGTTTTCCTTAGCCTACTATACATTTTTATTGAAGACAAATGGAACTCTTTATCAAAGAACTTGACAATTATCAATAGGAATGATTCACGTTAGAAGATTGAATAATTCATTACGGATAAATTTCATATTTTACGAGCGCATCCAGAACTCTAAAGTGTAACATTGGAAAAGATTTTGTTTTTTTTAATTCTGAGTAAACCCTCGTGCTGACTTTTATAAGTCTTAGATAGTTGTAAACTGACATCACATTTGAGAAAAGAGTCTCCAAGTATTCCAAGTGATTGCAAATGAAACTTCTAGAGGCATTTCTTTGTTGTCATTCCTTCCAAAATCTTACCAGTTGGGATAAAAAGTTTTAGTTTGCAATGATTTGAAAGCATTCTTTTTCATGTTTATTTAGTATGAATGCTTAGCCTAATAAGTCTAAAGGTTCTAGCATGAAAGATAGTAATTGACAAATGATTCTTGACCTCGAGAATCTTATGAATTATAAGGTATACATATATAGCAGTGAATTTGTTCGGCTGAGTATGGGGATTCACTACCACATGTATATACCTAGAATTCAAAAGATTCTTGAGGTCAACAATCTTTCGCCAATAACTATCTACCGAGCTAGAACCTTTAGACCTTATTGGGAAAGTATCCATGCCATATAAACTTTAAATGAATGCTTTTGAATCACCACAAAATAAAATTTTTTATCCCAATCGCTAAGATTTTGGAAGTAATGACAACTAAGAAATGTCTCCAGAATTTTTATTTGGAATAACTTGAGAAGCTTGACGACTCTTTTATTTGATATGCTTTTACTATAAAATCGTTTAAGACTTATGAAAATTATCATGAAAGTGTTCTGAACATTAAAAAAAATCATTTTCAATGTTGCGTTGATCAAGCATGGATGTGCTCCTAAAATTCTGAGATTTATCCGTAATGAACCATTCGATCATAAAGTGAGGACCATTACTAGCGATAATTCTCAAATTTAATACTTTGGCAAAGAGTTCTTGATGCCTTCAGTAGAAATGTGTTGTAGGGTAAATAAGGAGAGTAGAAACAAGAGAGTAGCTGATGTGGTTGAGGCACTAATAGGTGCCTACCTTAGCTTGCACAGGCAAAGTAGCAGCTACATCATTTATGAAATAATTGGGATTGACATTAAATTTATTGATGCACCTTTGCTAAGTTACTTCATCGTTAGTGCTGAGAAGATAGTCAATGTACGGTACTTGAATATCAGTTCTACCTTACAAGTTTCACGACCCTTCGTTGTTTGTTAAAATGCTTACTCGCGGATCTTACATGCTACCTGAGATTCCATGATGTTATTAGCAATTGGAATTTCTTGGAGATGTAGTGCTAGATTATGTTCTTACAACACATCTCTATTTTAAATATTCGAGACTGATTCCAAGACTAATTACTAATTTGCGGTCTATTCTTGTAAATAATGAATGTTATGCTCAATCTGAAGTTAAGGGTAGTATGCATGAGCATATTGTTCATGCCTCGCTAGATCTTCAAAGGCAGATATGTTGTACAATGCAGGAATTTGAGAAATTAGATCTCGTGTTCCTGTTTACATGGGAGAGTGAAAGTACTTTCCCAAATATGCTTGGAGATGTTATTGAGTACTTTGCTAGAGTGTGATATTTGTTGATATTGGCTTCTATAAGATACTACATTTCTAAGAATAAGACCTCTTATAGAATAGGCGATCACACAATATAACTCTACCCAACAAGAAAGTTAAGTGAACTATTTAACCAAAAAAAAATTCACAGGACAAGATGAGTCCAATTTCATTTAAGAATTCGACATTTGAGATATAAAAATTATGTGGGTCTTTACAAGATGAGTCCTATTTCATGTAGGTTCTTGGAGACTACTTACCCTAAACTCAAGCTGACACTTATATTAAGTGTAGTATACTTTCTTAAATAGGCATCTCTAAGTTTTATATATTGATGAAATATTCATAAAATGATGGAGACGTGGGTGCACTCTTCTTGACAACCAAATATTATAACAAGATCCATAAAATCCTTTCACAAAGATCAAATAAATCCTAAGGAGGTCCACATCATGCTTAGTTTGACAGACACTAACAACCCTTAAATCATGGAGAAATCTTAAGAGAGGAATCAAGGGATAAACATATTTCCACTCACAATCGTTATAAATATAAAATTATTCTTTTCATTTATTATTTGATTGCAATATATTTTTTTGTAGTTGAGAAAATATATTGCAAATATATTGGAACTCCCATTGTGAGACAATTTAGCCTTCATCTCCTCTCTCACAAATCAAATTAAAATCTAAGGCCACAAACCAGAAAGATTGAAAATCCATTTATGTGAGTGTACTTAAAATCTTGTCTTTGAGTTTATAAAGTTTACACTCCGACAAGTTTTGAAGTAGAGGACATTTATAGAAATTTTTTTTGTGGAACGCTATGAGATGAGACGCCTTCCTCAAGAAAAGTATGACAATTTGGAAAGTCTCCATTAGTGGGAACATACTCCCGAACGATCTCAACACACTTTGTAGCTTAGGACAAGTTTAAATTGGGTTTCAATATCATTGTTGTCAATGTTCGCAAATCATACTAATTCAAATTACCAAAATTCTAGCGTTAGGTGTCTCAAAATTTAATAGGTCTCCCAAATACTTTAATATAGAAAAAAAATTACAGTACTAGTTTTCTTTTATGTCCTATATTTTCACATAGGCTATGGATCATTGCAGTCCAGGCCAAGTGAAACCTAACATTAGGTATATGGACAATAATAACTCATGCACACTCAGTGCATTACCGAATGCTGAGTAATTAAATACAAAATTAAGCTAAATTTAAGTGAACATCAAAGCTAGCAATATATTGAACATACTAATATAAAAAATTTATATTATTAGGAATTATGTGGAAGTTATGATAAAGGCATTTATAAAAAAAATTGATATAAACAATAATTGCATGTCAATTCTAAGCTTGTTGGGGTCATTCTCTTGATATTTTTGATCGAGCGAGGAGGAATGGATGAAAGGTGAAACACTTAAGTTATACTCTAATCCCAACAAAATCTTAATCTAACAATAAAATTATGAAGACATAAAGAACTTCACAGATGGGTGGTGCACCAAAATTCATTTAACTAGTACCTACCTAGAATGGTAGGGTTCACAGAACATAATAAAAAGGCAATTCAATACATTCTTCACTAGAGGGAAAAAAAATTACATCTGAAATATATTTTTTTTAGTATTCAATCAAAATTACTTGGTCTTCAAGGAAGTGAGTTTACAACCATGAGATATCAAGTACAATACACAGTGGTGGCAAAAAAATCTTGATGATTGTTTTGTTTATGCCTGTATGGATAAAGTTACCTATTAGCGAAATCAAGAAAGCAAGACATTAGGTTTAGAAATAAAAAGGCAGAGGGGGAGCTACCAATTGATGTAATCCTAGATTCAAGAACAATAAAGCGAATTACAATCAATCAAACGAAATATACTATCAAGAAATAGACAGAAAGACAGAGAGATTCAGAAGGAAAAAAAGAATGACATAGCAACTAAAAGACATTTGATTACTAGGATAAACTCTAAGGATGAAAAGAAATTGAACTCATACAAGTGGCGACTTATCAAGAGGGTTCAGTTGATTAGATCTGAGGGTTTCCCCAAACTCACAGAAAAGTCTAAACATAAAATGTTCATTCAAAAATCAACCCCTAAATAAACCCTAGTTTCTACTATTTGTAATAGCAGATACACGAACCTAAGATATTTACAATAATACCCTTGAGATGAAACCAAAGAGAGTTTAATCTATTACTTATTTAAAATGTAGTCATCTCTTAGTTAAATTCCCATTTCAGCATATTGTAGATCGTCCATGCTTCTTTTATTATTTTTCAAAGGTATCCAAATTTCTTTGAATCGAATTGATGGTCTTCATATCCATGATGACTAATCCATATCGCATAATGATATGTATAGGACACCACAACATGAATATAATTTTACATGTTTTATGTGATAATCTGAAATAACTATATATATATTTGTAATGTGTAATGACTACATGTGTGATTTGGAATAGAGTAATTAACATCTTCTAGGTAAGAAATTGAAGAGTTTCCTTTGATTCTATTATAGACGACTTGTAAACTCAAAAGAAAATTTCGAAATTCAAGATAAGTTATTCCGAGAAAAAATTCTTTCACCTAGAGGAATAACAAAGAGTTAGAACGGAGATGAAAAAGAGAAGGAAAATATAGGAGTTACATTACCTTGGTTGAGTAATATATCTTGTGTGAGAAGAAGAGAGACGAGAGCGTTTTAGAGAGTTGGTACAGCCCATAAGAGAAGGGTTAGAGTAACATTCAGTTGTGCAAGGAGGCAACATAGTGAGAAGAAAAAGAAAATGAGCTCCATAGGAAGCTGAAGTTAGTATATATAGGTAGGGTTAATGAAAGTGGGCTTTATCCTAATCATATGAGAAATAAATTTTTTTCATAGTTTTGTGTTGGGCTTGGGCCAATAAATTATTTTCATTTTTGTACAATTAATAAAATGGTCAATACAACCAAACAAATTTTTTTTTAAAAAAGGTTTTTCAGGGTAATGTAGCAAGTACTAGAATATGGTAATGAAATGTCAATCATGTAAATTTTCAAAACATTTAAAATATAAAGTTGTCAAGATTTTCGTGAGTTCCTCATATTGTAAATACCTTCATCCCCCTTTCACAACTACTTGCATTTGGATTTTGTAGGAATATAATCAATCAAATATCTATCTGTTGTAGATGATGATAGCATGGGAGATGTATTGATCCCCCAAGATAAAGTAATCCGGAAGAGTTTTCTAGCTCCTCCAAAAATTTGAGAACAATATGAATAAAATTTGTTGATTCTCTCAACAAACTTCATGCACAATGAACAAGGATTATTTACTCCATACATCAATTTGGTAAACATTGAAACTTGTCTCATGTTCAAGTACTTACGTCACAGACTAAAAGGTTGAAATTCCTACCTTTAATTTGAATCGCCTTGCATGAAGAATGCGCGAACAACTAAAAGTACAACATGATGATGATAGATCGATGTCATGTCTCCTACGTATCAAATATACTTTTGACCTATTTTGTAAGTACGAAAAAATTATACGCATTAAATCAGGAGGGCACAATATTATCATCTCAAGAAAAAAGGCCCTCGTATTCTCTTTCATCATTAGCTAAAGGAAATATGGAGAATTCTTACCTTACCTACACTTTAATCTTGAATATTGACGTATCTTACTTTCTAATACTATTTATGTAAGTAAATTGTATTCCAAGTGAAGAGGATTGAGTATTTATTAAAGATGAAGTAAATTTGAAGGAATTTACTATTTTGTATAATCAAAGTGATTTCACGATATCGTTTTAACAATAAATATTAAAAAGTGCATAGAAATATAGGTGAGATGCTTGCTCATAATAATACGAACAACATATTGGGATAACTCGAGAAAAAAAAACATTCAATTGATTGAGGACGAAGAATGGGAGCCGAAAGGAAGAATTCCTAGATTAGCACAATAGAATATAGGAATGGTAATTAAGAGTTTTTTTAAGTTATAATCTTACTCGAAAAAAAAGAGAAATATTGATTAACCTTAAAAATACAATTAAAAAAATATTAATGGATAAACAACGTTCTAGATTATTATTACAGCGTTCCTCACAACTTTCCTTTCCCGTAGCTATAATTTGTACAAGTTCATCACTCATAATCCCATAATTGGTTAATTCATAAAAAGTTTGTTAGATAAAATGTCAAACTTCAACATGTTAAACCCTTCTGAGAAGAGAAATTTCAGCTCTACGAACTGTTAGGTTTTATTTGCCTTGAATTTTCTTACTATAAATAGTTTTTCCTTTAAGGAAAAGTTTTTGGATTAACTAATCTTTTTTTCTAGTAGGAAAAGGTTTAGGAGTCTATAAATACAAACATGTTCCTTCTAACTTAATCAGTATTCACAATGTTGTTTTAAGGGCTTTGAGAGTTTTTGTTAGGATGAGAATTTATGGGTCAGAAGCTTGATACGCTATCATTTGTGTGGACCTCCCATGTATTCCGAGTGAATTGGTTGAGGTTATTTGTGTCTGTATTTTGTATTCTCATATTTATGGTGGATTTCTCATCTCCTTTGTGGATGTAGGTCGATTAACCGAACCACGTTAAATCTTTGTATTTTGATACATTTTTCGTTGTCTTCTTACTCATGGTCTTTCGAGGTTTGCTTTGCTAGATTCTACATTACTCCTGCTTATTTTCGATCATAACAAGTGCTATCAGAGCCAAATTCAATGACGAAGTCAGGTCTAGTGTTTCGATAGTCGATGATTGAACTAGGTTAGAAAGAGGTGTTCATCTTGACGGGTGTAGTTCTAGCCGCAACCTTTTTTGATAGTAATGAATAATTTTTGTTGGAGAAATTATTTCAAAGAGATTCTATGTATTAAGGCATAAATTTTGCAAAGGAGATTATGGAGAGTAGAAGCAAGTTGTTGAAGATTAAGTCAAGAAGGTGGACAAATTTATTTTGTTAGAAATTCAGGTCAAGGGGGAGATTTGTTGGGTTTTATTTACCCTGATTTCTTACTATAAATAGGTTTTTCTTATAGGAAAAGCTTTTGGATTGACGTATCCTTTTTCTACTAGGAAAAGGTTTTGGACTCTATACATAGAAACATGTTCCTTGTAAATTAATAAGCATTCACAATGTAGTCTTAAGGGCTTTGAATCTTTTGATTAGGGGGAGAATTTATAAGTCACAAGCTTGATACGCTATCACTTGTGTGAACCTCCCATGTATTCCGAGTGAATTGGTTGAGGTTGTTTCTCTCTGTAATTTGTACTCTCATATTTATAATGGATTGCTCATCTCCTTTGTGGATGTAGGTCGATTGATCGAATCACGTAAAATCTTTGTATTTTGATATATTTCTCGTTGTCGTCTTACTCATGGTCTTTAGAGGTTTGCTACCAAGTAATTTATGATTAGTAAATAAAAGTATTTCATTGAAATGGGCTGGAAGTCCTACACACGTTAATACATCATTGAGTTGTCAAGAGCATAGTTTTAGTTTAATAGCAAAAGAATGATTTGATTTTTCTAAAACTACAAATTTTAACTGGACAAAGATGAAAAATACTAGTAACGAGTGTATCAATTCCACTTCCTTCATAAATATGCCAAATATAACGAGAGACAAATCATTCAATATGATATATTCGTTAATGCTGAAAATATTGTGGTGAACAGGCGATACATCCATATATTTGTGGACAAAATTTTGTCGATCATTCTTTGTAAGGAAATTTGTCAAGATTTATTATAATTTTTTTAAACATTACCATCACTTATTCTAATGAAGTCTTCATCATATCATATTTTAATAGCAAAAACATACTAATGTACAGTTGTGTCTAGGACGTAGGATGTACATAAATTGTACCCTTTGAATAATAAAAATATTTTTTCTAATTGATCCACAATTCAAAAGATCGATTTATCCAGACCTCTTTTTAAGTTAGTTTTTCTAGTAGTGAACATTTAGTGTAAACTCACAAGTGAATTTGAGGAGGGTAAGAACTAAGATGTGTACATATTTTTTTCCTATCTTTATGTTATAATTATTTTTTTCTAATAGACCCACTATTCAAAAGAAAAATTCGAAACATGGTTGTAAGAAAAAAATATGACAATAAAATACCAATATAGAAAACAAATTTAGGTTTACACATAGATATTCTTCAAGTGATTAGATGATTAAGTCTTTGTTAAAAAAATAAGCTAGAAAATTGCAAGATGATATATATTTATATGGGAAAGTCATGTAGTTTTTTATGGTGAAATTTTTAAAATTAACAATTGAAAATAAATTATCTTCACGTTGAGGCATAAATATATTCTCTTTAAGGAGATTTAAGCTCATGACAAAAACTCTTTTTACAAACTAGCAATAATCTTCTTAATTTGTCCCCTCCAAACAACATACTTGAATTTCAAATTACAGCTAAATAAATATTGGACAAGAGTTGAATCCAGAATTCCATAAAAAGAACATCTCCAATTCAACTAATAAGAAGTTTCTTTTTAACTCACTTTTATGCACTCTATATTTTCTAATACAACAAAAAAAGTAAGATCATCACTATTTGTAATAGAGAAATTCTTCGTTGTAATGAATAAGATTATGGGGTAGTGAAATAATGAAGTGTTAGTGAGAAGCTATGTCCATGACTCATCGCGTTCAGTCACTAAACTAAAGATAACTACTTCCAACGTTCTACTAGAAAGAGTGGGTGATAGACTAGGAAAGGATAGGATACAATTAAATAATAACTATTATTACAATGATTATATGGACTAAATAATTGATTATTATTATTTACTAAAAAAAGAAGGTTGATGTAGATCACGTATCAAACAATTGTTCACATTATCAACTGAATTATGTGAACTTTTTTTACTCAAAATTAAACATAAAATCTTGATATAAAAAAATCACATGACAAGGGTTAGGAGATTAATTATAGTCTCTGATGTACATTGATAATAAGTTATGAAATATTACCAAAACTACAAAACAAAAGAAATTTAATGCACCAAAAAATCTTCTATAAATCCGACAACCTTCTAGTAAAGTTCACTCATTATTTCCAAAAAATTTTTTTTGACATTCTTCTATGTTTCCCTTTGCAATCATTTTTTTGATCATTGTTGAATCTACAATCCTTATTTCTCACTCTCGTACTCCTCTTCATTGATGACTCAACTTCTTGAGCTTTGTTATGTGCGTAATTTTTGTCTGGCCAATATTCGATTGCCCGCTGCATCTAATCCACAGACAATTTTGTGATAAATTAGGGCTTCTTACCCATTACCGTTAAAAAAATGGCTCTGAGTTCAAGCGCAATAGAATTTTGAAGAGCTTCATATGTGTAATAAGCAATGACATTGTTGAAAATCAATAAGAAATCCTTAATGAAATTGGAAAATTTCAAATTTCGAAAAAACATCTTGAGCTAAGTTGTTTTGAATAATCTGTAATATATATATATATATATTAGCACTAATATCAAATATTTAACCCATATTTTATAATCCTTATATTGTAAATTATATGTCACAATGAGTTTAAAAAGAAAAATTAATGAGTTGTGGTATTTAACATGTCATATACTTCTTTTTTATTTACTTTGACATCATTTTATCATCAATCTATTAAAAAATATATGACATATGTCTGTATTAAAAAATAATCCAACCATAACTTTTTTGTTCTACTACAATTGAGAAGTTCTATAGTCACATTTATATTACAATGTATTTAAGACCATAAGTT